GCCTTGTTAAAGAGACAAAACATTTTGATACTTGTTAAAATGGTAGAGAAGACTTTATTTAAGACTGCATAGGGGTATTGCAATAGGGGACAGAGAGTGGGCTCAAAAAGAACAAGTGGGGATTTATAGCCAAGGAACAGAGTAAAGGGGCTGGTGGATGGAAAGTTATGAAAAGACAACATTAAGGATAGGTATATTCTTGCTAGACTGAACTAACAGGATTTTTGCTAAAGTCAGGCCAGGGTGATCAGATATCAAGGGTAGGGGGTGAGGAATTTGATCAGATATTGAAGGTGATCAGATATCAATGTGGGGGAATTCTCACTAAACTGACCCAGCAGGATTCTTGCTACAACTGGATTAGGCAGGCTGAAGAGAGGGCCCAAGGGTGAGAGCCCAGAGGAAACAGGGCTTGAAGGGGCCTAAGGCTTGGCCAGAGAGTCTTTGCCACTAATTATGGCCATTAGCATAAGACACAAACATTGATACAATAAAAAAATAGCTTCCCAAGAGACATGACAAGAAAATGAAATACACAGTCCTGGATTGGATCTTGACTAGAATTTATTTCTTTTTCTTTTTTTTTTGCCACTAGTCTGGCAGGTAGTGAAATCTGAGTATGATTCAGACTAGGTAATAGCATTGTGCTGATGGTTATGTTCTGATTTTGGTTATTATGTAAGAATGTCCTTGTTGGAAAACACGAATGAAGAATTCCTCCGTAAAGATGCATCATCGAGTCTTCAGCTTACCTTCAAATGACTTAGGAAGAAATTATATGTTTATGTAGAGAAACAACAGGATGAAGCCAACGTGGGCAAGTGTAAGCATTTGGATAATCTAGGTGAACATATGTAGAGATTCTTTATGCTATTTGTGTAACTTTTCTATAAATCTGAAATTATTTTAAAACAAAAAATTCAAAAAACTAACAAAAAAGAAAAGTCATGCAAACTTAAAGGACTCAGTCAAGTGCCATCTTCTCCTGGAGGTGCCTCTTACTGCAAATTGTACTTCACCCCACCTGCCTTATGGTAGGTAACATGGATGGACCATGGTTTCCTCGAAATTCTCTTTAGCCTTGATTCCTCAAATCCTCTTCTCTCTTTTACCTCTAGAGGTGTTCTTCCCAACCTCCGGGCCATGGATCAGCGCCAGTCCATCGCCTGGTAGGAACCAGGCTGCACAGCAGGAGTTGAGTGGTGGGCAAGGGAGCAAAGCTTTACCTGTATTTACAGCTGCTTGCCATTGCTGGTACCACTGCCTGAGCTCTGCCTTCTGTCAAATTCCACCTCTCCAACCCCATCATCCATGAAAAAAAAACATTGTCTTCCATAACTGGTCTCTGCTGCCAAAATGGTTCAGGACCACTGTCCTAAAGGAAGCACTGCAGGGTAGGGTGCTCATGGACTTCTGAACTCACAAACCTCGGTGCAAATGCTGCCTCTGCCACTACCAAGCTGAAAGACCTTGGTCATTACCACTCTGATTTAGATCAGATTTCTCATCTATATAACAGTTACAACAAAATGTATTGCACATAATGTCAGGAGGAACAGATAGTAAGGCAGGTCATGAATTCCAATTTCAGAAGGAGCTCTGTATATGTTCATTCCCCGCTTTCCCCTTTTCTTGAATTACCCTCTCAACATCCTTGGGATATTAGATCATAGCTGTGTACATTGATACTGTAATGGGGCACAGTGTGCTATTTTTATATGTAATTTGAAATATTCTCATCAAACTGGTTAACATAGCCTTTATGTCATTTTCTTAGTTATTGTGTTAAGACATTTATAGTCTTCATTTAGAAAAAGATTCACATGTACCCTTAAAAGATAACTCATAGACGTCATCCCACCAATCACCCACCCTCATCCTTGGGAAATTGTTAAAAATTTGAACCCAATTCTCAGATAATTTCTTTAAAATTTATTACCATGAACATTGACAATTTACAATGTCTTCCACAATGCTTGATGCACAATACCCCCTTAATGAATGCTGCTCATGGGGCAACACTTGCCACCTATTCTCCCCTGGCCATCCCAGCATCCCTGCGGGGTAGAACAGGCCTCATTATTCCCCCGTTTTTATAGTTTTGGAAATGGGGGCACTAAAAGTTTGAATGACACGCTTTTTCCCTAGGTTACATGGCTGATAAGTGGTAGAGTCTGGCAATTAACTCTATTAATTATGGTAAAGTTTACTTCTGTGATTACATCCCAACAAGCAAATTTAAATCAGAACTACATTTACTGAATCTCCATCCTTATGTGTAATCACACTTACTCTAAAATTCTAAAATGAATTTTTTCCCATTCAGTTTGTCAGTCTTTTAATGAGCATCTGTTAGGTGCCAAGCCATGTGCTAGGCATTGGGGTTACCAAGATGGGTAAGGAGCTCCAAATCTTGTAAAGTAAGAAACAGTTGAGCAAACATTGTAAACACAGTGTAATAGCTCCTTCAAATGCACTCTGTAATACTAATGCAGATATTCTCATCTTGCTCGCTATTGAATTTATAAAAGTTTTGCCGGTGGTGATTAGGTTCAGTAACCCTAATGTCAGTGTCCAGAAGATAGCTCATGACATATAAAGCCATGCACGATCTACAGCTATGGAGGATCTACTCTGAGCAGGAGAAGGGAGGGGTTGCTTTCCAATTTAGAGCCACTCCTATTTTGGTACCCATATCCCTCTTTTCTCAAACAAATGTCCTTTCCAAGGCTGTAGGTTCCCTCCACCCTAGAACTACTTTCCCATCTCCTGCCTTTGCAGGGCTCAGAATCTTCAGGTACTCTCTAAATGCATCCCCCTGACTGTCATGGGACATAGCCAGACTTATGGCTTAGAAGCTTGGCCATATCAGCCGGGAAAGCAGTACTCTGAATTGCTGAAGACCCTTTAATGAGAGGAATTGAGACAGGAAATCTAATTTAACAGGGAGACAGACAATGTAATTTGGGAAAGCAGTGGCTTCCAGCGCTGCTTAAAGTTATGGGGTATTATTTTGTCACTCTGGAAGCTATAGCAACTTGGAAACCTGACATCCTGAGTCTGAAAATCCCTTAGTTTCCACGACAGACTTCCCTAGACTTACATGCATATTTGATTAGTTTGGACAAGATGGTTGTCTCAACTGTTGAATTAGTGACATTTCCTTAGTAGGAAAAGCCAGGCCTCTCTGGCAAATTTAACCTGACATAAAATTGTACACAAACCCTATGTTCCAGATCCCTCTTTCATGATCATACCTAGTTTTCCGCTGTTCCACCCTATTCCAGGGCACACTTCCCTTTGTATTCATTACTCCCAACAGAGTATCTTGCAATGTGCATTTATTACACGAATGAAACAATTAAAGAGCATCCCGAACGAACAATACTAGGAAGAAAGAAGTACCATACAAAAGGTTCATAAACTTATTTTTGTGAACTCTGTAGTGAATGTCATCTGGCATCTTCAGCATTACAGGACACTACCCCGACGGCAGCAGTCCGGCTGGCCTTCCCATTAGTCGGTGGCTTAGAATGGGGACAAAGCAGCAGGAATTCACCTTTTCTCTTCTCCCCGACTCCCGCGGCGCAGATAAGCAATGCGCAGCTCTTTAGGAGTTTGATGACTGCAAACTTCCTGCATCTGAGGGAGGAGCCCCGACAGGACCCGCTGACAAGCGAAGATCCAGCCTCAGATGTCGCGCGCGAGAGGGCAGAGGTTTCTACGTCTGCCTGGAGCGCAGACTGGTGGATTGCAACACGGTAGGGGGAAAAGCCGGTTCGAGGGTGCTCTGGCTCGCTGGTGGCTCGAACGTCTGCTAGAACGTCGCCTCGACCACAGCAGCTCACGCTGAGTCTCCTGGGCGGGAGCCCCCACCTTTGCCGGTGATGGGCCCTTGGAGGCATTTCTGGACTCTCCGCGCACAGTGTCCACTGAGCCCCCGGAGCCCCCACGGACTCTGCGGGGGGCGGGGCTTGGCGTGACGGGGCGGAGCCCAGCCCTCGCCCGGCCCGCCCCTTGACTGTGGAGCGCAGAGATTGGACGCTTCGGAAGGCCGCCTTCCAGGCAGCCCCGGGGAGTGACCGCGGCCCGAGGCGGTTTTCCGCGCACCGGGTGCGGAATCCTAGGGGCTGCGGTCGGCGAAGGATTGGGGGTGCCCCTCACCCAAGCGCCTCCAGGGTGGGTTTACCCGCAGAGACTAGGGTGCCCTAGAGTTCTGCAACACTGCGGTTTCTCGTGTCTGCGGGGTGTCTAGATGCGCTCGCTAGAATTCCGAGAGCATTTGGGAAACTTCTCACCCCCACTCCTTGTTCCCTACTTTCGGGTGGGAAAGCAGTTGCGAGTTGTTTTATTTCCTCCCCCATTGGACTCTGTAAAAATAGCCGTGCGCCGGGACGGCCGAGCCAGTCTCTGTCACACCGCTGCCCCGGGTCGGGTGTGGACCTAAAAATACCCGGGGGTGCCGAGCCGGCGCTCTGAGTGCGGGCGGGTCTGGCCGGGCCGCAGAGGGCGTCTGGAGACCGGGGAAACGGCGGCCGCTTGGCCCCCCCCTCCTTGCCTCGGCCAGGACTGTCCCTTTAAATCCTGGAGGAGGTAAAGAGAAAAAGGAAAGAAAGAAAAAAGACGCGGAGCCCCGAGCGGCTGGTGGCTCTGCCCGGCCCCCTACTCCGCCCCCGCGCTGGGGCCTGACTCCCGCCCGCCACCTCCGCAGGTCCCCGGCGCCCCCCGCAGCGCCGCCCACTCGCCACAGTTACTGTCAAAATAGAAATTAGCGGAGCCGGGGAGGAGGCTGGGACGCGGCAAGTGCATGAGTGGCAGTACAAGGAGGGGGCCCAGAGGAAGGGGGCGAGCGCGAGCGAGAGGCGACCGCAGACATCCGGGCCCTTTAGCCCTGTGAGCCCCCCGAGCCGGCGGCGCGGGCGCCGGGCGCGGGGCGCGGGGCTGACAGCCGCGGCGCGGGAGGCGGGGCGCGAGGAGGGCGGAGGCGCTGCGCGGGGAGGGAGGAGCTGCCCGCGCGTCCGTCGCCACCGCTTTGCTCCACACCCGCCGGCGCAGCCCCGCCACGAGACTCTGACAGCGGCGCGGCCGGCGCTGCTAGGGCGCGCAGGGACGGACGGACGGCGGCAGCGGTGAGGGAGGACGCGAGGATCGCGGCCCGGCGCCAAGTGCGGGAGACGCGCAGGGCCGGCGGCGCGCAGAGGTGAGCGGCTTCGCGCGCCAGGTTCGGGCACCGGCTGCCAGGGTCGCGGTCTTCCCGCACCTCGGCTTCTGAGGCAGGTCGGAAGGTCGCGGGGCGCGGGGAGGGTGGCTCTGCATCTGCAACGCTGGAAAGCGATTATGGGGGCCGTTGCTAGGCGGCCAGCGGTCCGCTCGCCCCGTGCGCTGGCGGGGGGTAGGGGCGCCCTCTGCGCAGCGGACAGGAGGCGGGGGGCTGCGGTGGCTATTCAGGGGCTCCGTGCGGCAGCCATGCAACGGGAGGAGGCGGGAAGAGGGAGGGAGGGAAGGAGGGAGGGGAGAGCCAGAGGAGAGCGAGCCAGCGAGCGGGCGCCGCGCCTCCTGGCTGGCACCACGGCCCGGAGCGAAGTGGCGCGCGGGGCTGGAAAGGAACTTCTGCGAGTGCGTGCGGCCCGGGGCTTGGCGGCGCCTCCGGGCCGGAGCCGGGCAGGCCAGTCGGCAGCCACAGGTGGTTTCTGCCAAAAGTTTTACCGCACTTCTGCTGAGAAGGTGCGGGAGCATTTTGGAGAGTGACGGTTTCCTGGGACTTTGGCACCCTCACCTCAGACTGGTTTTTCTTGAAGCTTAGAACGAGGATGGAAAGGTTAGGATCCCGCACCTCGAGATGAGGCCTGAGCGCTGCGTGGCAGTCCTGGCCGGAGGTGGCGCTCATACAGGACTTTCAGATTCTCGTTGCTGTCAAATTGGGAAGTTGAGGAAACCGGGCGCACACACACAGTTCCTCTAAACCTCGGGCAAGTTGAGCCGAGCCTGGTCTGGTACCTGTCGCCTGCTTGGGGCAGCTCAGGGTTATTTCCTAGCGACACGCACAGGAACTGCGGGCTTCTGGTTCAAGATGCGCGCGTCTTTTGGTCCACTGAAAACGAATCGTTTTTGGCTGCTGTGCTTTTGTTATTCCGGCTGGTTGCCTGATTTCACTAGCAGGAAGACCACGAGGAGCCAAAGGAAGGCGAAGCAGCAACTCGTTACCTTTGCTACAGAACAGTGGAGGCTGGTCCTAAACCTCAGCAGGCAGCAGGGCCGAGGGGAGCTGGGGCTGGGGCTGGTGGCTTGCGCTGCCCCTCTTTGGAGTCTTCTGGACCATTTGCAAGGCTAAAGCTGGGGTTTCTGGTGCTCCTGGGACAGAAAGAGAGGCCAGGGTGGGAAGGGAAGACCACTTAAAAGATATGCCGTGTCCAGTTCTAGGAGAAAGACACCGAGAAGTCCGGTGGCTTGGCCCGGTTCCTCATTGGCCGGGTTGACGAATCCAGGGCAGCGAGGTAGAACCACCTCTGTAGGTCTGTCCTGGCTGAAAGAAATCATTATTCCCAGAGCAGGTCTGATACCTGGTGTTGCAAGTAGGTACAGAACTGCGTGAGAGCTTGAAACACTCAGTCCTTCATTCCTCTTGGTCCTGTGCTCCCACTCTCTGTTCTGCCTGCTCCCCCAAAATACATGAACAGAAACCAAGCTCTTTGCTTCAAAGAGGGTCACAGAATTTTAGAGCTGAAAGAGACTCTTCAGATATTAGGAGTGCTTATTTTACAGATGACCAAACTCAGGCCCAAGGAAAGGCAGGTGACCTGCCACAGTGGGTAGGGGCCCAGTGAGACTAGAAATGACATCAGCTTTCTAGGCCAGGGTGGAGACACCTTCCTGGGCAAGGCCTTGCAGGGCCTGAGATCAGAAATGCCAGCCTCACACCCCAAGCTCTTCATGGACTCATTATCTGGTGCTTTCTAAATCCAAGCTTGACAGCTAATGTGTATATGTCTTGCCCCCTGCCCGTGGCTTAAAAAAAAAAATGCAGGACTGCCTCTGCAAGTCCAGTCTGACACTACCCCAACTTTTCCTGCCCCCTGATTGTCCCAAATTCCTCAAACTCCTTTTGTAACATAATGCAGCTTGATGAGCCAAGATGAGTTTGCAGCTTGTGTCACTGAAGCACCCACTTTCCATAGGATGCCAAAACTCTGTTTTCCTGGTAATTAGGTTTTACAGATATTTTTGAAAGGGAGCCCAATTTTGGATCAATTACACTTGGGCACAAATCCTCTGCTGTTGTGGATACCAAATGAGAAAGATGAGCAATTATCTGGGGGTGTTGGAATAAATGTTGTTATGAGTATTTGACACAGCTATTAAACATCAATGAGTGGGTTTTCAGTAAATGTTTTTTACTCTGTATTTTATTGAGCAAACAAAGTGTCTTAATTAAAAAGAACTGTGAGTTGGCCGCTTAGATTTTAGCCACTTGTTTCTTCCTAGTGTGTATGGGTGGGAAGGAATTGAATGATGAACAGTGATTGTTAAGAGAACCTCCCCCCACCCAGCCAAATCAAAATATTCTAAGACTAATGGTTAGCCTTCAGACTGTAATGTTATGTATAGTCCGGCAGCATTTTATTAAATCAAAATAGGTCTGGGTACATTGTGTGTCAAATCTGTATTATTCAGAGATGACTGGTAAGAGAGAAATATTTTGTAAATTTGATTGCTTTCAAGGACGTGGCAGTATCAAGAATTCAAGGCTAATGCAGTGCTGCTGAGGATAATTCTTCTACTCTCACGAACAGATATGAATCAGTGGTCCCCCGTACATCCCCTGTACTTAGGGATCCTATAGAGCACTCATTTTCAACCAGTGCACAGTCGTGTGCTGTGAGAGGATCTTAGGTATGCCATGAAATTTTTTTAAGACCACTAAATTATTTTCAAAAGAAGTTCAAAGCATAGTAAATATATTCTTTTTTAAAACTCTCTTTTTGATCAACATTATTTACGTGTACATGGAAGTTTAACTATAGGTTTAAGCGTGCTGTGAGATAAAAAGTGGCTGGAAAACAATGCTATAGAAGAAAGTAAGATTTGATATCCTAACGATAATAGTGTTAAATTTTCTTTTCTTTTTTTTTTTTTTTTTTTTTTGCAGTTTTTGGCCAGGGCTGGGTTCGAACCCACCACCTTTGGCACATGGGGCTTACATCCTACTCCCTTGAGCCACAGGCGCTGCCGAATAGTGTTAAATTTCGACAGTGCCGGTGCCTGTGGCTCAAAGGAGTAGGGTGCCAGCCCCATATATTGAAGGTGGTGGGTTCCAACCCAGCCCTGGCCAAAAACTGAAAAAAAAAAAAAATTGACAGTGCCTTTCAGTTTTGCTGCATGCAAACGTCATCAGCATTCCCACCAGCTAGAAAGTTCAGTTGATAATTTTACAGAGGGAGAAACTGAGGCAGAGAGAGGGGAGAGTGTTATTCCTGTGACTTCTACTACGTTAACACTCTGAGCATGCAGTTTGGGCTTTCTGGGCTGACCAGGGTGTAAGATACCCTCAGGTCATACTGCTGGCTAGTTGTCACTCTCCAGCACAGTAATTACAAAGGGGTGCAGGGGGGTGGTGGGGATACAGTTACAATTCATCAAAGGTTGTCACCAGGGCATTTTTGTTCCCCACCCCTGTTAAGGGTGGGCAGTTGTCCTCCCTCTCATAGGAGCCTGTGGGAACTTGGGCTGGGAGGGACCAGCTGGCTGAGGCTTGGGCGGGGGTGTGGATCTGTGCTTGTGTAGGGCTGAAGGAGTCCAGGCTATTTATAACCCCTCCTCCCCTCCTGGGAAGAGGAGACTCAAGGGTCTGGAACCATCTGCAGTGCTGACTTCTCCCCAGGGTGCCTGTGTCCCTCTGGAAGAAAATGTACCACCCAGCCACATGGGGGGTATTGGAGTGAACCCTGACCTATGTGGAGGAATCTTGCAAGGCTTCTTGGAATATCAGCTTCTCCAGGGGAATTTAGGATATGAGGATTTTCCAGTGCCAGTGTGTGCACTTTCTTTTGGGCACTGCTTCCCCACTTGCACAAGTTAGGTACACCCTGGAAATCTCAGAGTAGAACTTTAGAATCTGCTAAAGTGAGGATAGTTGACAGCAATGATTTTTATGCAGGAGATTTTTTAAAGCAGCAGATGAGATGTGGTTGCCTCTGACTCCAGGCTGAAGCGTTTCTGTTTGGGGCTGGTGGAGGAAGTTTGAGACATTCACTCAAAGCTCTTTTCCTCCTTTTGGAAGCCTACTCCAGACCAATCCCTGATGCCCCCTCGCCCACCCACCACTCTTCACATCAACTTCAAAGTCCTCCTTTGTCTTGGAATAAATAGTAACCTGCCATGCCACCAGTTACAACTTCATTCCTGAGACTGAACAAATTTTCTTCCTGGGTTGGTGAAGGAAGGAATGGGGGGAGGGAGGATGGGGAGGCAGAGGCAGGCGAGGCACTGAGCTTGTCTCTTTGTTTAACCCATCAGACCTTTTCAGGAGCTCACAGCAGATTTAACCAGGGGAGAAGACAAATAGGAAGCTCTGGATGGAGAGGCGACGCTAACTAGCCTTTCCTAGGCCCCCCTCGCTGGAGCTTTGGAGGGCAGGGCTGGTCTGTTGCTCATCTTCACAACCTCGGCATCCAGCACAGGGCCTGGGCATGGAAAATGTTTGCTGAACGAAGGCCACAGCTGGGCATGGGTGAATGGGTGGACCACAGTCACATCTGCTTCTTCCTTGTTGTCATCTGTGCCACGTGGCACTGTTAAGGGGATGTCGAGAGGGGAAAGACGTAGAAGCAGAGTATGGACGAGAAGAGATAGCACTCTATACGTGCTGTGAGAGCCCTGAGGTCATGCTAATTGGCTATTCCAGACCCCAGGAATGCTGGGGTTAGTTCAACAGATAGTGTGAGGTCCTCTACTGGCTGTCACCACATAATCTAGCCCCATAAAGCAGGCGGCCCAGGCCACTCCCTTGTAGACTGACCTGTGGGCCCTTGGGATGTGGCCTTTGCCTGCCTCTCTGACCTCCCCTTCACTCCCTGTGCCACACCCTCCTGGCTCCTTTTTGTATCTTGAACACACTGAGCTCATGTGTTTGTGGCTTGGCTGTTCTCTTTGGAACATCCTTCCCTCAGGTCTTCTCACAGTTGACTCCTCCGGGTCCTGAAA